ACAGGCGGTGTGATCCGTTAGTTACAGCTCGAGCTTATTGAAAACAGCTGTAAGAGCAGAGATAACATAGATTCCTAAATTACCATAAGAGCGTTGCGGCCCCACCTCGATGTTCTAGTGGCTAAGGCACTCGGCTGCTGACCCGCAGGTCGCGGGTTCGAATCCCGGCTGCGGCGGCTGCATTTCCGATGGAAGCGGAAATGTTGTAGGTCCGTGTGCTCAGATTTGGGTGCACGTTAAAGAACCCCAGGTGGTCGAAATTTCCGAAGCCCTCCACTACGGCGTCTCTCATAATCTTATGGTGGTTTCGGGACGTTAAACCCCACATATCAATCAACCAATAACAGCGTTGCGATAAACCATGGCCCCCCTAAAGAGGACTGCCACTTATGCCTACGATAATTGCTTTTTCGTATTTCTCTTTATCGGGCTGTTTTGCTTGTTAGCAGGAGGGGCGTGCCCTCATCGGCGTTACAGAGAGAGAAAGATGGTAGGGGGAACGAAGAGAAGGGGAGAAGGTCAACTATAGTATACGCTTATCTTGAAGCAGGGTGGATGATGAAAGACGTAACTATAAACGTGTGGTTGGTTGTATGTGTGCCTTTTCGGTCCTGATCTTTCCCGCTTTTTCGCCTATAGGCGAAAAAGTGCAAAAAGTTGATCACATCGTATACGATGTGAATATTACTAAGCTAAAAACAATGAAAGGCAATAAAATAATCAATTACTTATTTATTTCCCTTAACCTAAATAACAGAATTGATCAAACACTTATAGCAGAGTTACACTTGAACCCTTATCCGAACTCGCATACTAAATCGGGATTATTGTGCACCTATGTGCCGAACAGTTCCTGTTTTTGATCGACGTTATTCTGAATAAAGCCTATATACGATCACTTCAAACTATTAGCTTTATTTCGCCCCGCCGCGGTGGTCTAGTGGCTAAGGTACTCGGCTGCTGACACGCAGGTCGCGGGTTTGATTCCCGGCTGCGGCGGCTGCATTTCTGATGGAGGCGGAAATGTTGTAGGCCCGTGTACTCAGATTTGGGTGCACGTTAAAGAACCCCAGGTGGTCGAAATTTCCGGAGCCCTCCACTACGGCGTCTCTCATAATCAAATGGTGGTTTTGGGACGTTAAAACCCACAAATCAATCAATCAATTATTAGCTTTATTTCGCGCTCCGTGATTTTACAATCGTTACAAAGCCGGTTTCTGCACCTTAGTGTTTTCGCTCATCTCGAATTGCATGGGACCTTGAATGAGATAAACGATACATCGAGCCATTATTGCTTGGACACCCGCTAACGGGAATGTTCAAGGTGCAGAAGTAAGGACAACAGCCATGGCATTTAGAAGACCTACAACTCTTGCAAAGTCTAAATTAAACCGTGTCACCGTGTCGTGATCGAACACTTCGATCAAGTATGCCCGTCCCCGATTCGATTGAAAGCCTGGCCGTCGCGGTGGTAAACGATTGTCACCTCCACCTTTACACTCGCTGATTTTCTGCAACCTTTAAAGATGCCCTTGGAGCCCACAGGCGCCGGGTAGCCAAAAGGGGGATCGGTGTCGAGGCTAAACCTGGCGTGAGTTTTGCTCGACCCACCATGGTGGTGCTGTGGTATTGCGCTTTTGCGTTCGAGGTCACGGTTGCGATCTCGACCAAGGCGAGCGCGTTTTGATGGGGGCAAGACAAAGAAAAAAAAATGTGTGGGCTACTTGCGATAGTGTGGCTGGACTAGCAACGGAGATGAGCAAGCTTGCTAGGAAGCGCAGCAACTAGTACACACAACACAAGCGTTTGGGTTGTGCGTTCTGTGTAATAGTTGCTGCGCTTCTTACGAAGATGGATTCATACCAACTGGCCCGATACAATTGTTTATGAAGATGAGCAAGGCTTTAATTAGCGAGACACCAATAAGCATGGTCTTAATCAACATGGGCTGACTTGACACTGTGTCAATTAACACGTCTCAATTCTGAACTCTAATTCAATAAGTCCTAATTGGCATGATAATATTTATCATCATTCTAAGTAACATGTTCTTAGTTAGAAAGTTCTTCTCTGTCTCTGTTCCTGACGACAAAGACAGACTAAGAGAGCTTTGCTGTAAAAAGTGTAAAAAGCTTTGTGTGCTTAGGTTCGGGAGCACGTTTGAGAACGTCAGGTGATTAAATTTAATTACTTCCACTAACACATGCTTCGTGTTGGCATGACATTTCTGAATGATCGAACTCATAAGATTCGTTTTTTACATTTGATTTGTTGTCTTCGCCCGAGAATGAGATCGCGTCAACTCCTACGCACAGCCCCTAACGCTCTCAGCTTTACGCTGTCAATCGGTGTTTTCAAAAGGGTACACTATAAGATTTAATTATTCAGTTTCCCAGTCTCACCAACGGGAAGGTGCGAATTGTGTTCTCTGTGAAACTTTTGAGAGCTCAACGGATTTGGTTGCACTCGATTTGTTTTTATAGCGTCTGGTGCAGCCGTGAATTGAATGATTCATGTTGTTTAACATTATAAAGCAGTACATGAACAGCAACAGTTAGTAGAAGAAAACTCAGTATAGTTGTTTTAAGTTTCAATTCTTTATACACCACATCTACCACACGGGGGAAGGGGGGGGGCACTCGAATCCATTGCCTTGCACTCAGCGGGAAGTGTCAATGTTACTGGGTCATCCATCGTATCACATAGGAAACGATTTCTGTGGAAGTGTTCTTCGACAACATATTAACTTTAGTAAATCTCTAAGCTAGGAATGGTTTGTTTACTGGGGAGGACGTGGTGACACCACGGGTAAGAGCCCAGGCGCACATCTTTCTCTTAAAAAAAATGGCGGCGATACAGTTACGTAATTACTTGCCAATATGGGATGCCCTGCAGCAGTCTTGTAGTTTGTTGCCCGACAGCTGACTGACTCCATGGTTGCAACCGCGTCCCCCCCCCCCCCCAAAAAAAAAAAGGCGAAATGTTACTTAGGCTTAGGCACACGTTAAAGCACATCATCATCATCATCACCACCACCACCATCATCATCATCATCATCCTGACTACGCCCACTGCAGGGCAAAGGCCTCTCCCATGCACTGCCAATCATCCTAATCTTGTGCTTTTGCTGCTACATTATACCTGCGAAGTTTTTATTCTCTTGGGCCCACCTAAATTTCTGTCGCCCCCTCGTGCGTTTGCCTTCTCCGGGAATCCAGTCACTTATGTTAATGACCAGTGGTTATCCTGGCTATGCGCTACGTGCCCGGCCCATGTCCATTTGTTCTTCTTGATTTCAACTATCGTATCCTTAACCCCGGTTTGTTCCCTGACCCACCCTGCTCTCTTCTTGTCTTTTAAGGTTACACTTATCATTTTCCTTTCCACCGCTCGCTGCATCGCCCACAATTTAAGCTGAACCCCTTTTGTAAGCCTCCAGGTTTCGGCTCCGTGGGTAAGTAATGGCAAAAATGCAACTGTTATATACCTCCCTCTTGAGGGTTAGTGGTAGATTACCATTAATGATTTGTGAATGCTTTCCGAATGTGACCCACCCCAACCTTATTCTTCTAGTTATTTCATTGTCATAGTTCGGCTCCGCGGTTACTACTTGCCTTATGTGTACATATTCCTTTAAAACTTGCAGCGTCTCTCCACCTATCCAAATGCGCTGTTTTCTGCCAAGACTGTTGGACAATGCACATCAGATGGTCGAATTTTTCAGAGCCATACTCTATGGCGTTCCTCATGATCATATTGTGGTTTCCGGACGTAAAATCTCATCGACTATTATCACTCCACAATTACGTTTTACTTGCCAGTCTAGGGCCGTGAACGACTAACCGCCTAGTAGTTTCGGATCATTGTATACAACAGAAGCTCAGGCGAATTGGTAAGGATTCATTAACGAGGCTTGAACAGCGCGTAGATGGCAACGAAAAGGGCCAGGATCAGTAGAGGCTAAGAGCGTGGACTTCCAACCAGATTTCACTAAAAATAAAAAACAAAAACAAAATTCAAGCAAGCTTGGTACTAGGAATGCCAAAGCTAAAGACAGTGGGAGCTGGGCCGCCTTCTTCATTTCTCCTCGGTTTTCGCATTTTTCCGTCCTCTCTCTCCTTCTTTTTTGTCTTGCAGACCTTACGGTGTGTTTCTTTCTTTCTTTATTTCTATTCATTTCTTTCTCTCCTTCCTCATCTAGTTTTTTCTTTTTTTGCCCTTTATAATGCTCTTCCGGGTTTTGTCTCCTCTTCTCTATTCTCGCTTGCTTCCTTTTCTCTGTTTTTATGCGTGGTTTGTCCTGAGTTACGCAGACCTACGGCCGCATACGACAGCAGAGGCCCTATAAGTGCTCCGCACTTGTCATCATCAGTGCCCTCGAAGAACAAGAGGGAGAAGACTTTTCCGTAGCAGGAGCGCGTGCTGAATGCATTAGAGATTGCTACGCTAGTCGTGCTTCTGCCTGCGTTACGCCAAACTACGACAGCATACGCTGACAGCACACGACAGTGCGGGTTTCCAAAGTGCGCTGAACTTAGGAGATGATGGAAGTCAGCTCTCTTTGGCTCTACTTATTCTGCCCCTTTTCCTTATTGCCTGTGAGCTGTTGATACCTTCTTAACTGATCCGCGTAATCACAATGAGGTAGAACTGCAGCGTTTGAAACCACGTCCTTGACTCTCGCTGTGAACCCGGGGCCTGCGACCGATCGGTCGGTGCGTGATGCGGATGTGTGCTTGGCGGCCCAACAAAAAAACAGCCGGCTACCCAGCCGGCTGTCGTCTTGCTCCGTCGTGGGTCACATTGGCAGCGAAGAAGCGGCGCTGCTGGTGACGAAAGAGGCTGAAGCCTCTAGGCCGCGATTCGGGACTTGACCCGCATGGGCCGCTATTTTGAGCCCTTCCTGGCGAGCGCCCGAAGACCTGCGCAGCCTCGTGACGTCACGACGGCAAGGAATGAGCGCCCGAGGTTCGCTCCTCTCCCATCCTCGAAACCAGACACCGGAGTCTCGGGACAGCCGGTCGCTTCTTCGCTGGCTGCCCCGTTCAGTAGAGGAGATTCGCGAACACCGGCCTGATGCTCGTAGAATACCTTGCCTGTGCGTATATATTTTCGTTCAGGCAGTTTTTTTTTCTGAAGCAGGCGAAGTTTCATCTGTGATTGTGTCTATCCTGTGATTGGTGGCCCTGTTCACCGGCGTAGCTTTTGTGCAGAAGTGCTCCCCTCTTCGAAGACGTATAGTGACCGGATTCGCGTGTATTGTAGTGCCTCCTTTTGTGGTGCCGCAACGAACTTCGCTCTGCGTACCGGAATAATACTGCGTTTGGACATCGTTCCGGCTCGGCTTCGGCCATGAGCGCGTCGCGCTACGCTTCGTCGGCAGTGTGACCATTGGTAAGCGGCTCAGATCAGAGATTTGGTCGTGTGTGCTTTTGAACGAGAAAAGATATTTCATATTCACTCTCATTGAATGTTCGGGCGAAGGAAAGTTGTGTGGCGTCCAAGCTGCGTGGATTGTTGAACGGTGCCGGTCACCCGATAATCCACGCGATATATACATGGAGGATTGCGTGCCATATTAATAATCTATTAGGTACCCTACTACAGTGCTACATATTCGCATGCGCAGAAATATACGACAAACCGCTGAAGTGCTTACGGTTACTTTTACACGTCAAGACGGTGCACTTAACGCAAAAGCACATGTAAAACCAGTGATACTTAATATTGCGTCGCACACACATTGAATCAGGTCTCATACGAGCTCTGCTGCAAGATTAATTGTTATGTACCTAGCGTTTCACTAAAGTGAGTTGGACGACACATGTCTGTGTTTGCCGTCGGCGCGGGTATGTGTTGGCTTAGAGGGCCCACTTTTTTCATTTAGTCGCACAATGTTTCATTCTGTGCTTTACAGGTGCGCTTAATAAGATGCGAAATATATGCTCTCATACCGACGTTTCTGGCGAGAGTTTTCGCATAGAGTCCTCATTCGTAATGATCGACCGAAAAGGTCTAGCTCGTTTAGTATCTGTACGGTTATTGTCAATCCGAATATGTTAGGTGAATATAATGAGTGAACACAATTAGTAGGCTGCTGAAGGGGGCACAACATGGCCAGGGTAGCATGTGCACAGAGATTTTGTGAAGAGAACCATGACTTAGTCACGACGAGTGAGAAATGTGACCACTTCGACATGCGCAGTGTGTAAAGCGGGATCATATGTGCACCTTACACAAATGTCATTAATATGCAGCAGTTTTATTATAATTTTTGATGTCTAAAGAAAGACTTGCTACACAGTAGAGATCGGCATGAATTGTCGCTTAAGAAACGCAGGCTCCTCGTCGTTTTTGCGGCCCTCACAACTCAGTGTGCAAGGCACCGCAGATTTCTTTTTTTTTTGTCGAGATTATGAAGGCTGCGTGTTGACTGTCCTCTTCTCTGTTTGTTTACGTAGAGCCTTCTTGAATCGCTGGTTTGATTTTTCACCTACCACAACACCTGGGTCACGAGGTTATTTTGTTGAAAAGCGTCTCAGATGCTGAACGCAGATGTGTTAAGTGTCTAACTAACTTTCTATGCAAAATGTTCTGTTGGACCAAACTCTTCCATTAACAAAAAAAAAAAAACAAACAATAATGTCACTGCTTTTCTGCAGAGTTCTTGCGTTATTGGGTAGTTTTATTTCAATACTATGGACGCTGCCCACCACATAGGAGATGAGCGGGACAAGAATAAAGTGGATTTTCGAGTGCAAGCTTTTTTAAACTTTCCCATTGTTGTAACTGAATTAAAGCACAGATTTATAAAGCATCATCGAAAGAGTTTAAATGAATTACTGAAAGGATGAACGTGTTGCTAGCTAGTCCGTGCACATTGCATTGTTTTTCCTATCCCTGGTCTATCGTGCACCATGGCAGTCGACTCTAAAGCCATCGCGCTATTTTCGAGTCCACCGCTCCTTCAGTACTCGGTATATACCTTTCAACCCATAACTGCTTTTTGGGCCTCCTTCGAAGTACTTTGTGAAGATTGGTACTGAATACGCATGAGCTGCAATGACATTCGAGTCAAAGAGAAAAAAAATATAGAAAGTTCCTTCTTAGCGGTCTAAAAACTCCACCATACCGCGGTGGGCTGTCCTCGTGCATCCAAAATTATCCCAACCACACGTTCGCCGTTTGCACATGCTCTCTTTATTTACTTGGCACCAGGCTCGCCCACGCTTTGTTCGGATTCTCAGCTCCGTTGTGTTTGGTGTTTTTGTTTCAACGCCGAGGCGTTTTACGGCCACGGACGTACCGTAATTTCCCCCGAAACATGATTGCAATGAAACCTAAAGGGCACTGTATCGAGTGAGCAAGACGGTGATATTTAATTGGAAACTGTGCTAGCAAGTGTCGCATCTTAAAATAGCACTCGCCTTTAGCATTAAAAGTGACCTTCCAAGAAGTGAAGCAACAGCGAAATTGGCGATGTTACCGTATAGCGTGCGTCAGCTTGACGTTACGGAATTTAACCACGTGGAATGCGCATTTTTGCAGCCGGCAAAAGACTGCTCTCTAAAAGAGACGGTTGTCTAAACTAACGATTTTCAGAGCAGTTAATCCTACCGAAATTTCTTGACAGTGCATCTAAGTTGAACTTTGCTCGAATAATACTGTCGAAACGTATGCAATTGCCAAGAAAATGAACAAAAGACGAATTCGTTCATGGTTTTAATGCTCCGCCTTTGAACGTCGAGTTCGCGAGTAAGTTCTGTCGCGGCTGGTCATATTGATGTTCCTAAGACGCATTGTGGTAACAAATGTTGCCTAACAGTAGGTTGGCAAATACATTGATCAGCTGGTACTATGTAAATGAAACCGCTTATCGCCAAGTCCCACCAAATGACTATGAAGTTTCTCAAGTAGGGCTGTGTAGCGAACTAGTGAAGTAGTGAGGGGTATGAAGAGATAATATGCAGCAAAAACCGAGGGAGGAAGGCTTCCGTTGTGTATTCTCGGCGGTATAATTATTTTCGTGTGTTCCTGTCTGACTCATACTTGTTTAGAGCGGCTGGTCAGCAACTTCAGCCTCGAGCTTTCTTCGATATAATGTAGCAGTGTGTCGCCCTAACGATATATCAAGCAGTCATTCCGCATGTCAGGTCCTCGTACTATGATTCGAACAGGAGCGAAAAGTCGCAGCTAACGCGAGGTGACACTGACCACAGCCACTCGCTGGACAGCTCTAGAAAAAGTGTGATTCAGACTGTACAAGGCGAAGACCAGGAACAGCGATTGATTTGATTTGATTGATTTGTGGGATTTAACGTCCCAAAACCACCGTACGATTATGAGAGACGCCGTAGTGGAGGACTCCGGAAATTTTGACCACCTGGGGTTCTTTAACGTTCACCCAAATCTGAGCACACGGGCCTGCGACATTTCCGCCTCCATCGGAAATGCAGCCGCCGCAGCCGGGATTCGAACCGGCGACCTGCGGGTCAGCAGCCGAGTACCTTAGCCACTAGACCACCGCGGCGGGGCGACCAGGAAAAGCGAGAAACGATGAATATTGCAGCCGGTCGTTGACATTTCTGACGCGTGGAATACACCTTTCGGACAGTAGTTACAACATGATGGCGTGGGATAGGCGAATGTATGTATCAACACTAAAGCCGGTGACCTTCACGCAATAAACAAGGAAAAACATGTAACTAGGCGCAGGGAGAAGAGTAAACATCGAATGCTGCTTGGATAGCTACTAATCTTGGAAATGACTTGCACGTGCCGTATAACGTGTAAGTCATTTTATATATTACTCTTCGGCAGGGCCAGTATTTTGCTGTGCCTCACACTTCTATTTGAAGGGGTTCGTCAGTCGCAGTCATAGGCTGGCAAACTCATTAATGAGTAGACTCCTTCGGACTCATTCAGACCCAGATCAAGGCGCGAGTCTGATTGTTTTGAAGCGCACTACTTAGTTGCGGACAGAAAGACAGAGACAAGCGCTTACTATCAACTGAAAATTTATTCGGAAAACTATGAAACACATACTGACAGATGAAACAGTGTCATGGCACATACGATAAGGCCAAATCATGGACCAAAATAACAGAACCGGTTCTGTTATTTTGGCAGACGAAGATTTGGGAGACAAAGAATCGTCAGCAAGCACGGCAGTGATCTCTTTCTTTCTTTCTTTCTTTCTTTCTTTCTTTCTTTCTTTCTTTCTTTCTTTCTTTCTTTCTTTCTTTCTTTCTTTCTTTCTTTCTTTCTTCTTCTTTCTTCTTTCTTCTTTCTTTTGTTGTTTGTTTGTTTGTTTGTTGTTTTGTTTGTTTCTTTCTTTCTTTCTTTCTTTCTTTCTTTCTTTGTTTGTTTGTTTGTTTGTTTCTTTCTTTCTTTCTTTCTTTCTTTCTTTCTTTGTTTCTTTCTTTCTTTCTTTCTTTTTTCCTTTCTTTCTTTCTTTCTTTCTTTCTTTCTTTCTTTCTTTCCCTTACATGTTGTCTTGCCTAACCGCTCCTTTGCATCGCAGCTTAGCTGGTCGCAGTGCATCTAGAGTGCAGCGCAAGCCTCGAATAAGGAGAACGAGTTAAGTGTACCCGTGGTTCAGACACTTCGTATTTTACTGCACGCTTCTGTAGAGACAATATTAAGGGTGGTGTGAGAATAAAAATAGCAGTTTATATTAAGGACAGGACACGAGCACAGATAACATTCTATTGTTGAAGCGAAGAGGAACACACACAGGCAAGGCAGATGACATAACATCGAGAAAGAATGTCAGTCTCTCTCTTTAATAGCAGTGGTTGCTGTATGATGCGTATTGTCGATGGTGGGAGGAAATCAGTTAAAATGATAGAGTTGCGAAACTTTTTATGTTGTAGGACAGGCTGAAAAATGGAGTGTTTGAGGAAGAGTACCTCGTATTTCATCAGTCTATAAGCGCTTGGAAATTTGAGAATAATTATGATCCCGATAAAGAACGATTGGGGTCCTCTGACTACTGTACTGTGAAGCAAACGGCGTTATTTACAAAACGTCTCGGTGTACAGAATAAATAAATAAATAAACAAATAAATTAACACTTGTGAATAGATACAAAAACAAAGACTTTTTTACCATACATAGACTACAGTAATGAAAGAGATATATTTTAGCATTCGTTCTCATGACTGTGCTAAAAACCTGATTTTCTTATTTGGAATGAAGTAGTCGCCCATTGAAAACAATAGAAGGGTATCTTAAAGGGCCTCTAAAGAGCCTTTGAAAAAGTTCCGCAGATCCTCCGTACCACGGGAATCAACGTCATGCGAAGTATTCGCAGGGAAGTTGACTACGGCGTAATTTTTTTTTTATTGAGGTAAAGGTTACGAAATGACGCTAAATATATGTAGAAAAGTTGCACGCATTTGCATATTTTGAACAGTCTCATATGTTTTATATAACCAGAAGTTACGTAGCAATGCCATCAGCAACATGGCTACCACAAACACTGAAGCTGTAAGTTGATACGCAGCGCTTGTGCTAGCGTGGATGGTAGCCCTGGCTAGCGTTACGTTCACAAACTTCGGTCAATGGTTCTTAAGTATGCAATTGCCGTTATATTTCGTACAATAGGAATACAAGTGTAATGGTTATAAAATTTGATAGCCCGCACTACAACGTTTCGCCAACATTACTTATGCATAGGGTCGTTTTCCAATGCAGTTTCTAGAACTGGTGCGGTACTGTGGTATAGAATTCTTGATTGCCACGCGGAATGCTTGGTTTCAATTGCTTCTGGGACACCAATACTTATTCTTGGCATTCCTCGAGTCACTGTTGCCAATGTAAATTTTTATACGAACTGTCGATCACCTGTGGCGTATACCTGTTTTCCGCGGCCCGTGGTAAACGGCTATGTACTACACGTGTCTGGAGGAAAGGGTCTGGTGACGTACGCGACGGAATTTTCAGGCTATTAATGTCATGACAAGCACGAGGTAATAATGTCCAGCACAAGGAAATAACTGTTCATTGGGTCCATATGCGGGGAATATCGGCAGTGAATCGTCTCCCATGCGCGATCGAATGATTTTACTTCACCTTTTGCGTTTCCGACTGCGCAAGCGCAGATAAGAGCGCCTAGCCAAGAAGCGCGCAATCCTTGTAGGTTCAATGCTTTGCCCTTACATTTTCCGCGTGCTTTATGAAGAAATGAGTGACGGGGAGGCCGTAGAGCCTGTGGGAAAATTAATTAAGGCTATAGAAGAAACCACTATCTCGTCTTTGTAGGCTAGAGTTCTTTCGAGGCCCTTTACAAAGAGGCCCTTTACAAATGGTGTTCACCATTAAACCCAGTAAGAAGGGTCTCTATAAACTTTCGGCGCCATCAAGATCAGGAATCGCGGTGCCTCTCGTGCCGTTATCATTCGGTGCGCCTCCTTGCAGAAACGGAGACGAGCAATTAAAATTCTGGGTCGGGCAGTGCGCCGTTCCCGTCCCGTTCTTTGCGCCGGCATGGCCCATCGTGCTACGTCTCCCTCACTGCCGGCGGCTCTCTAGTCGTGCGCGAGCATGTCGAGGGACCAGCAAGAAGGAGCACGGACAGTTCGGCAGAGGCTTGGCATCTCCTCCTCGGTGTTCCTAGGCGCAACAGCCCGGCTTGCCTCACTTCCGCCTAAAAAAAGACGCGAGAATGAGCGCGACAGTGGAAGGTTGGTGGGGAGAGGGGCTGCGTGGCGAGCCCGCGTGCTTCGTCCGATGGTAGCCCCCCTTGTTGAAATAGACTGAATGACGCACCTTGTGAGGCTGTAGCAACGAAAGGTGGGGACGCGATGAGCGGGCGGATGCGTAGATGGAGGCACGGCGTAGACAGAAACGTTCTACGTTACAGCTGGCCTTAGAGCACGTGTGCATTTCTCCTGCATTCTGATTAGTCCTGACTGTATACTCGCAGTCGGGTGTGACTGTTCTAGTCCGAACGCACTGTCTGAGAGGTTAGGGTGCAATGTTGCCTTTATCGTAGCGACTGCATGACGTCACCTATGGCCATCGTGTATCATGGTATTATAGAAAGTCTGCGGATATCTATGTGGTGAGATTATGAATGGGTCGAGAAGCGGCTTGCCATGTTTTTTCGGGAGGATCGAAGAGCTTATGCACGCGAAACGAAACAGTGTATGGTGTGCAGAAACAGGACTGGGAACTTGTCTGAATTGCATGTAAACGTATTATTTTCTTTTAGTACTAATTCTCATTCTTTTGTGCTCACTGTATGACTCACCTCTAAGAATCGTGAACAGTGCAATAACTGTGCCGTTGTTGCCATTCTTAAGATTGTTGGACGTTGGAGTGCTTTAGGTATACATATATTCAAAATACTGTCCGTGAAATATTATATATCAGTTTGTACCTCCATAGAAATACATTTCTCTGGACAATGTGTGCGCACAAAAATTGCTTATACACAGTTAGCCACCACCTGTAGATTATTTCGTTTTAGGTCAAATAAACGTCAAGTTTCTTTTGGACGTAAAGTAGTTCACATTACGAAGAGCTCACTTATGCATCTTATGTGTGCATACATGTCAGATACATTACACGGACAGATTGCAAAAAATTGGATGGACACTTTCGGTAGTGTTTACATTGGGAGTGAAGTCGTTCTTGGTGAGCTCACTGGTACATGTTGCATTGAATGGAATGCCTTGGACAAGATAAAAAATTCGAAATTTCTTTAAAGGGCTTGCTTGCGCTTGCACGTAGGTTCAGAGCAAAATAACTTTTAAATATACCTAAAAAGCAATATTTGTGGTATGGAGGCGAGCTAGTTTGGTCTTCTGGTCATTTTACATGCTTATGCGCAACACAAACGTGTTTCCGCTTTTTGAAATGGGGATAAATTGTAATTTTCTGAAAGAAATTTACTTTTTTAGTGCGCAGGGAGCGTTTGAGAAAGAAGATAAAGCAATGAGATAAGACAGAGCGCACATGTCCTATCTCACTGCTCTGTCTTCTTTCTCGAACGTTCCCTTGTGCACTAAGAAAAGTAAATTTCCTTGAAAATGCAATACCAACCAGCCCAAGGAGTCACTCTTTTGCGATAAATTGTAGTACGACATCCGCGAATTTAAGTAAAATTTTTAGGAATCACTGCGATGGGCTCCTAATGTTTCTTAACGTATTCAGGCTATTACAACGCGCTTATCTGCGCTCTTCTTGCTTAGACTCGCGTTCTTCCTAATTCGCGCAACTTTTCTCCACTCAGGTTGTGTGTGCGTTGCTTCATAGGGCCTTAACGCGCGTAGATATTCGGAGATTTTCAAGGCACTACTTCCGCTGCCCCGCTCTGATTATTTAGTTCATCCATGTTTAAGTACACAGTGCTGGTGTCAGAAATGCTTCGAAGAATCTGTGTTCACACTTCTCCTTAATTAGCAATTTAGCTCTGTGCCCTTTTTAACGATTCTTTAAAATTAGCATGCGAAAACTGTGCAGTTAAAAAAAAGCGTGTATGTCTCAAAAGCCCTCTTTATTAGACATCTGAATTATGTTGATTTACGTTAGTTAGACTTGATATATTTTCTGTGCAAAAGTAGGTGACTGTGAATTATCTAGCGTCTTCGTGCAGCATATGCTAAAAGACTAGCGCGTTAGGTATCGAGTCCAACGCTGACGCCGCTTCAGTTGTCTCGTGTATGTTGGGAGGTACGAATGGTCATATAAAAAAATAAAAAATATGGTAGCCAAACCAACACACGATACCTGTAGATAACAGTAAAAGATGTCTTGTTCGAAAATGAAGTAGAACATATATGAATTTCGAGGTACTACGCTATCCAAGAAGGCCTTTCTTTAAAATGCTTCAAGAATGTAGCAAAGAAAACCCAGCAATAGCATGGAACATAAAATACTTTTAAACTACAGTGAAGTAATTATGTCGTAAATTGAAATGAATGGACAAAAAGCCACCCTTTCTGACGTAGGAGTAAGCACTCACAAACTCCAAATCACGCGTCGTTTGTCTTACCAACTGGGGTACAAAAATTATTCTGCTGCTGTTCTTTGGAGGGGGGGGGGCACCTGTAATCTAGCATAGCGTGTTGAGAGAGTCGCTGATACAAATAATTAATATCGGCGTAAATATATTCAAAAGCGTATGCATTGCGATCGTCAGACAGACGTGAAATAAGCACACCTTATGTTGACCAAGCACAGGTAAATCTCTTAGAGCGTGCGCGAGAGGGGGGGGGGGGAGTTCATCTAAGCGTGCTGTTCCCTATTAAGTCAATATAAAGGTCAGAAATTAAATTGCGTACCCTGCCTTTCTTAGGTGACTAGAGGGGGAGGAGGCGGTCTCCCCCTAGACCTCCTGCCCGGGCACACGCCTTTGTTATTATGGGATGATCACAAAAGATTTTGGTGGCGACGTTCCCAATGAAGTCAAAGTGGATTCTCCGTAAAAGTCGACTATTCCACCACAAGACAACGGCATTGTTTGAAGCTACATTTTGCCGTCATGTGAACTGAATAACGAGTGGGTGCCTTAACGCTGCCCGCCCTTTACAAAAGACTAAGCCATGATTCACCAAGACCGTCGTCATGAGCAACAGCATCGACAGCGTTGCCTTGTATTTGGGTAGTATAACTCCATATGACGGGAGTGCTTGATGATTTGCGCGATTTTGCGGGCGCTTTAAAGCTGCCCAACTAGCACAGAAGGTTGTTTCACATTTCATCAGCAGCGGCCTGGCCACAGTATTTTCTACGATCCACGGGCTCCTAATTGTTACCCAGCCATTACAGATGATGCCAGAATTAATCGTTGTCTACAGCCTCAATATAGCTCTCTTTATGACCCAGCTAGCGCGGGTACTTTCGTAGCCTCCATAACAGTGAGCAGGCTGCCTTGGCCTTTGTCTGCAGCAATCTTGCCGTGAAATTCTGAGAATCTTTTAAACGACAGTGTTCGTAGTGTCTGACCACGCGTCCTTCACAACGTTCTTTGCTGATCACAAAGCACATGTGATAGTATTTCCACAAACGTGGGCAAATCAACACGCCAGAGTGCTACTTTCTGTCCTCAGTACTTGCAACAAGCGCCCTATAGTTTACGGCGTTATTGGTGGCACGGTTTGTAATCTGGAGTTATCTCTCTCTCTTTTTTTTTTACAGATGCTGACCCCTTCGCGTCGCCTCGGCTGCAGCAGCCAGAATGAACGCAGGTTCCACACAAGCCAGAGCAACGAACGACTACGCCTAAACAACCGAATTTCTTAAAACCGACTCCATTTGAGAGCATCGACCACAATGACTTCAGCGTGGAGCCAGCTAGACCAGCTGCTAACGTGCGCAATCTGTCTCGACCGATACCGGAACCCGAAGCTGCTACCATGCCAGCACTCGTTCTGCGCAGACCCTTGCTTGGAAGGGTTGCAGGACTACGCGCGGCGGCAGATAAAATGTCCAGAGTGTCGCGCCGAGCACCGCATCCCGTACAACGGCGTGCAGACGTTCCCCACCAACGTGACGCTGATGAGGTTCCTCGAGCTGCACCGCGACATCACGGGAGAAGAACCCGAGCCACTGCCTTCGTCCATGGAACGTTGTCACGTGTGCAGCGAGAAGAGCCTCGTGAGTCGATGTTCGCACTGCGAGAAGAAGATCTGCGAGACGTGCAAAGAGGCGCACTTGGACATCATGCGCCGGGAGATCAGCCGCATTTGCAATCAAGTTCGCAGGTGTCTGAACCGGCTGAGCGACCACCTCGCGCAGAACAACAAGAACCAGGACAAGCTATCGCAGAATTGCGCGCTTGTGAAAGAGGAGCTGGATGACCTCATCAACCGTTACATCAAAGACCTGCAGCTGGTTCACAATAAGCTTAAGACCGAGATAGACGTGTATTTGCAGCAGGAGCTAAAGCAGCTGTCCGCGCTTTCCGAGGATGTGGAGACAGAGGTTAACAACATTACATCCAACTGCGACGTCGTTGAGAAATACGTCAACGACGACACTGAGTGGACGGACTCTGAGCTCGTCGAGTACAAGGAGATATTCTCGAAGACTCTCGAATTCCTAAGGAACTTTGATCCGGACACGTCTGATTTTACGAGGCGGGTTAAGCTCCAGATCCACACGGACCCTGACGCGCTGCATCGCACGTTGGCCAACCTGGGAGAGCTCAAGTTCAACACGCCAATCACGCAATCGTCATCAAATCTCAACGTGCCCCAGCTAAACCTTGGTTCATCCGGAGGCGGCACGGCCAACGCGCTGATGCGAAGTCAGAGCGACCATCGCCTCGCGGTGCAATTCCAAAAGAAGCAGGACGCTACGCGGTCGATGCTAGACATTGGCCAGCGGTACGGTGGCCATCTCAGTGACTCCGACCGAGATGGCAGCTTTGAGGGTCCTTCTTCAATGTATTCTAGAAATCGCAATAGAGACAATAGTGAGAACTCCATTTTAAGAAGATACGGGCCTGATCGGGGCAGGGATAACGACAATGCAGACAGCCGACTCTCGAACCGCTATGGAAGTCGCTTCGAAGACAGGTCCTGGAGGGACGAAGGAACGGGTGGAAGTCATCATAGCTTTAGATCTCGTTACGCGCGTGAGCTTATGGACGACGATTCAGAAGGACTGAGTAGCCATACTCGGAACGTCCGCTTCGAGGAACCACCACCTCCACGGGAGAAAGTGTTTGACACAGATGATGCGACCCGCGGTCCCCTCAGCGGCGTCGTAAAGCTCAGTGATTCGGCCAAATTCATGGAACGCCTCCACGAGAACCAGATCAGACAGAAGCAGAAACAGGCCGAGAAGGAGCGGCTGGAGAACGAACCACCTCCTGCTCCGGTGGTTCCCGTGCCGCCGCCGAGGAGACCACCGTCGAGGCAGCTTAGTGAGGACGAAGTCGAGAAGCAGAAAAAGGCAGCCAACCAAGCCGCGGCCGCGTCCACTTCTACGCCCGCCACGTCACCGCCGCCGTCCCTGGACACGAGGCCATCGCAGCTACGGCGACTCGCACCCAAGGACGACGTCCCGTCTCGGGCGACACCTCCGGACTCTCCGAGGACGCCGACGCCACGCCAGAGTTCCATTGAGAGCACACCCGCGCAGTCCCGGAGGAGTTCTACGGCTTCTGAAGACACGACGGCCAGCACAACTACGGCGGCCAGTGACTCGATGAGGTCGCGACAGCGCCGTGCCATCGAGGAGGAGCCACTGTCCAGGAGGGAGCTGTCCTCAACTGCACCCAAGCCTTCGACGCCCGCCAGGTCAGTGCTTTCGCCGCCTCGCGGCCTTGTCCACTCGACGGAGCAGGGCGGGGCTCAGGGGGAGGAGCAGGAAATTGTGCCCGCGTCGCGTCCCCTGTCGCGCCACAGCCCGTACCGCCGATCTTGCACCGACTACGTGGTGCGGAGGCGCGACAAGTCGCCGCCGGCCGTGGTGGCTCGTCGCTGCTTCGACGACCTGAGTTGGAGTCCCCGCGCTGGTCGCAGCGGCGACGACCCGGCACCCTCGCGGTGGACGAGCCTGCACAGGCCGGACTACTACCGCTACCGGACGTCTCGCTTTGGCTCGAGCGCCGGCCTGGAAGACCGGAGCCCAAGCTGGCGCTCGGCGCTCGTGGCCGACCCAAGTAGGCCTGCCTGCAATGATACACCCTTGGCATGGGCGAGCAGATTCTAACACCGAGAGGTGCCGGGCCGTGGTCCGACAGGGAGAGTGAAACGGTGGCGTGGCTCTGTTCGCCGCTGTTTTCTTAGCACAAGCTCGTGTCGCCGCCGCAGGTGCCTCGACTGCAGCGACGTACTGCTTAGTCCTGCGTCACTCGGTAGTGCTGAGGTTGGCGTCACTTGCGACGAAATGTGTTGCACTGGGACCCCAGGACTGATCCCTGTTTTTAGCCTTTTTTTTCAAGTCATGTGTTGCCGCAAACGTTATCTTCAGTTTTTTTCACTGCTCCTTGTCAAACTTTAAAATTTTCGATACCAGACGTGTAGGGGCAATTACTGCAGTTGCGGAACAGAAACTCATTTCCATATTTATAGAAATTATAAGTGAAGGCCTCGTCAATCATTAAGCAGGCTCGAGGGATTGAAGCATGTAAGCTGCGCGCAGCACGACAGTTATAGACTCGGTTTCTGAGGCAAGCTAAGCGGATTTTTTCTCCCACATTTACATGATAATCACAAATAGCCAATGTACCACAGCATAAAATCAGAAACTAAAATATTGCTCGCGCCAGCATTCTTACCTATCTTTTGGAGTGATTGCAACATAACGAGACGCAGAATACGTTTTTTGCTTGGGCGTAATTCGATTAACTTGGAAAGTCATGGTCTTTAGACGTGACGGCTAAAGTTATTAGCACTTTGCTGCACCATTTATAGATGAAAATTATGGTAACTTCCTCGATGCAATGGGAGCCAGTCGTTTATGTAGGTGTGCTATAGAAATGGGCATTGTGCGTTCCTCTTTGTACATTTTAATATCAAAGTTTGATATCGTTATCCTCTTCAGTTACTTTGCCTAACAAGCATCAGACAGCAAAGAGACTTATGCTCTTCTTTTCACCGTCTTTTTCTCACTCAAACACATGTGAAATTGAACATTAATTTTCCTGTTCGTTGACATCAAGATAATTTTACTCCTATACGTACATTTTTATCGACACACGTACCCTCCTCTCGTATGGTTAAGACATTTCAATTTCAGTAGCCATGTTTGCTAGGAAGAAAAGATGATGAACTCTTTTCCGGCTGCGTTCTGACATGATGAAACGCATCCACGCTATTCGCAGCGTGCGAAGATAGTAGACTTTCTTGTCTTTCTCCAGCAAGCGTTCGAGCGTGTACTAGAGATGTCAGCACCAGTCGTATATGCAACGCCTAGTAGCAGTAGCTACTCCGGTTGAAAAACAACCACTCTTTCACTGATAATATGAAACTCTTGTATCGAGGCTATACCCCGACATGCACGAAACGTATTCTGCGTTTAATGTGAGAGCGTTCGCGCAAAAGCGAACGCTCGCTTGGGCATCGCGTGCGATTTGGTAAGCTCCTCGTTCTGCTTATGCCGCAGCGCCAACTCGGCCACGGGCCTTCTCTTCGTCCTGCCATCGCTGTCGGCGGAGACGAAGAGAATGTAAAGCGCAGCGCCTGTCCACGGAACCCGCCACGCCCAAGACTCGGCAGCGCACCCGTGTAGAAGCACCAGAGGGACGTTTTTTTTCTCGAGAGAACGCAATAAAAAACCAGAATAGTGTTATTTTTAGGAAATCTTTCCACCGTAGACTACGTTCTCTCTTCTTCTACCACTTATCTCACAATCCATTATCAACATACGTCGCCGCTGTCTTTGCCTTCTTATCCACTTATCCACCGACACACCAGACGGCTCTGACGGCACACCGAATACATGTACCAGCGTTCACTCCGAGTGTTCCGTGAGAAAGCCACCTCTCAGCGATGTTATAGGTGATACTAAAATGCGTCCACCAATCAGCGATACACGTTATAGCTGGTTCGAAAGTGCGTCGTGTCCAGAGAAAACAAACAAAAACGAAAATAGAGCGCGGGAATGCACGCTCTATTGAATGTGGGGTGTGGTACTATGAGGACGCATTGCAAGCAGTGACAACATCCTGCAAGGAAGACGCCGTACAGAATTTCCTTGGTGGTCTTTCCCATTTTCGTAGATGGAAGGTAACTTCGGGCTCCATGGCGACAGTGGAAGTCTCCGTCAACTGGTGCTTCGGTATTCGTTAAGGAAAGCGAAGGGCGCATCCCACGAAAAGGTTAGAGACCCACTGATGCTGTCGAAAAGTTCTGCTTTTATTTTTATTTTTGTTCGAGTTAACTCGTCACACAAATAACTAATCTGCTTCTGAATAACCATCCCATTAAAACGAGCGTGAGAACCCTGCGCTGTTCCGCGAAGCACTTAGGACTGTTTACCGAATATAAAGTATCGTAGCCTTTCGCACTACCAGTACACAGAAACGCGAAAAAGAGAAGTTTCGTTTGATGCGATGAGGCGCGCAATTGTTGTCCTGCCTTCACTATTTCGGAAAAGTGTTATTAGGGGAGCGATATAGAGAGAACACGCAACAGTTCACAGCTTCGTTATTTCAGGGATTATGCGTGTTTAGCTCTTAGGTTCTAGTTATGTGTTAGCCAAAATCAGTGATCGTTTTACTCACACTATTTTGGAGTCAATGAAATCTTAAAAAGTATATCTATGAGGATACACTTCGCTGATTCACAAATAAATATGGCCATTGTTTTACATACAGCAGTGCGTTTAATTAGCTTAGGCTGCTGATACTGATGAAGTAGTTGCGCGCATTCATATAATATAACTGAGCTCACATGACATCGGAAAATGTCTTGCATCATGACTAAACAAGACTTAGTACCACGGACATTTCCAATTGTAGTGTCTTTTTAAACAAGATCACGCCAGGCTTCCATATGCTACATGGTGGTACAAAGATAACGTAAGGTGGCTATCTTTTATTTCATATCCTTGCAACATGATGTAACCTTGACGCACTGATTCGACACGAGCGTTGTTGCTGCATTTACGTGAGGAGTTTTCTGGGAGCGGTTGACGATTTCAATATACTTTGACTCATGGAGTGACTGTGCTTAGGCAAAATGAAAGTGGTTAGAGTACGAAGAAAGGTGCTTCGATCTCAGTCCCCCCCTCTGCGAGTGACGTCAGGCGAGTGACATCGAACTAACGCGGCTGTTTCACTCTCCTGCGGCCCGTGGCGCGCATTCGCATGACTGGCATGCATCCACAGGCTCTCAGCCCCGGGCTTTTTTGGAAGGACAACGGACACTCGGCCATGAACCGCACGCCGCCTGTCGCGTATTGTATTGCTTCCTTAGATGAAACTAATAAACTATTTGCAAACCCCAACAGTGTGAACAATTAATCAGCATGGCATGATGACGGACGTCACTAGCGGCTGACAACCACAAGCTTCACAGAAATGATATAAAACAGAACGTCATAGCAGCCTCCTTCTAGAGAAACATAAAAAAAGTATGTCATAAACTGTGAAAGTACCGTAGAGAGCTAAGGCTAAGTTTTTGATGGTTTCTTACTAAGGGAGTGCTACTGTGTAAGTAGTGTTTTACAAGATCTTGTTACGGCGCTTATAATATTGTTCATCGTTAAGCACAGAGGCCCTTACTGAATGCCCTTACTGATGTCAAAGTCCTAAATTACAAAATAAAACAATCACTTCCAATTAACTTCCAATCAGGCTCACTCTAAATAGCATAAAGCTCTGAGTGCCAGAACTTGACATATTTTACCGCTATTTACGCGGTGCATAAAGCTTTCTACCTAGGTGTTTACGCTGCATTCCAATACCAAATATAACCAAGGAGTCATATGAGAAAAGCAAGAAGGCTACCCGGAAGGGAAGCTTCTAGTTTGACACCATAAAATAAGTGAAGAGTGATGAAAGTAAGAAGCACTGCTATCTGGCACTATAATATTGACGTTCTTTAGTATTACTTAACATACATTCTCGTTAGAACATACTTCAAGGGGCACATTACCACTAATTATTTTTTATGCGGCTTTAAAGTGCAACCTGCATGCATGCGCACTCGTAGTTTCTTAGTGGCTTGCAGTATTGGCTAGGGATATGCAAGATTTCGGCAAGTCTCAGTTCTGATTCGCATCTCATGTTCGCAGGTCCACTCGCGCGCCGCTGGCCAAGGCCGTATCTCTAGACCACGACGATCGCCGCCGACCGACAGATGACAGGAAGAAAGAGGAAGTGATGACGAGGGCCGGATCGCTGAGCGGCCCGTCTCCCGCTGCGCACCAGTCGTCGTTCTTCAGCCGTTTGAAGCCGCAGCAAGCGCAGATTGGCGAAGAGGAGGACACCGAATCCGAGGCGTCTACCGAAGAAGAAACCTCGGAGGAAGAAGAGGAGGACGAGGAGGAAGACGATGAAGAGGACGAGGAGGAGGAAGAGACTGTGGCGGCGCAGCCTGAAAGACCCAAGACGCCCACGACGCCCACGCGCAAGATCTCGTCCACGCAGCAGGGCACCAAGAAGGAAGAGGACATGACCTCCTCCGTGTCAGCGCTGCTCAATAGGAGCGCCCAGGCACGGCGAGGTAGCCAGGACGTGCGCTCCTCGACACCCACGTCGGGCAGGCACTCACAATACGCCAGGGATAAGGAGGAAGGAAGCCCCAGGAGTCGCTTCCAATCCTGGAGGGAGACGCCGTCTTCGTCGGTGGATGACCCCACCATGGTGTCCTCCTCCCGGTATGGCGGCACCTCCTTCTTGGCCAGTCGAAGGCGCGCTGGAGAGGATGACCCACCTAGAGGGGAGGACAGTGGTCCCGGAAGCCGCTTTCTAAGCCGCAGCCGGAGTTCGGCACTCATGGACCAGCCGGAGCCACGAGCCGATCGGCGTAAGAATCAGCAGGAAAGTGCCACCCCGACTGCGAGGTCTCCGGCGGCGAATCCGACGTCGTCTTCGGCGGCAGCGCTGCGTAGGAGCCGGCTGACTCGCAGCAAGAGCTCCAATGAGATGCTGCCCTGGAGAAGGCGACAGCGGTGATGAAGCCAACCAGCCGCCGCCGTCGTACCGGAGTCGCTACGGCCAGCCGGAGAGCTCACCGGCCCTCAGTGGTAGCGGCTCTCTGTCCCGCTCGAAAAGCAGCCATGCGGTCAAGGACAGCTCTCCGGACGCGGGCGACTACGGTGGCTCTGGCGGTGGGCCCGGGGCGTCGTCCAGCTGGGCGCAGTACCTGCGCAACAAGTACGGCTCCCGCGGAACCAGCGGTGCCGGCAGCTCGTCGGGGTATGGACCCAAGAGTGTGTCCCGGTCCCGCAGCTCTCATGCAGTCTACAGCCGCAGCGGCAGCGACGACAACAGCTCGGAGGACGAGGACGTTCCTGCCCGGGGCCGTGGTCCGGAGGCCGGCAGCAGCTCTTCGCGTCACGATGGACAGTACGGCAGCTACGGCTTTCCTCGAAGCATGTATCTTCAAAAGCGCCGTATGCAGCTCAAGATCGGCACGCGCGGAACTGAACCCGGCTGCTTCACGTGGCCAAGGGGTGTCGCTGTCGGACCGGACAACTCGATCGTGGTTGCCGACAGCAGCAACCATAGGGTACAGGTGAGTCGGGCTTCCCTCATTATCGTGCCTCGTGCACTTCCGAGGCTGAGGAATGCACAAAGTGTGTGTGGCGAAATGGCCGATATTCTGCATAAACAAAGCTTCTCAAAAGAAGCTGGTACTTCCCGTGGGATTGGTTGTGTATTTCGCGCAGTTGTGTCGAGCATTTATGCGGTTAATAATGTTAGATGACAGCCTAAGTCTGAGTCTAATATTAGCCCACAGTTAGCCCAAGCCTTTGTTATTCTACGAAATTGGACTTACGCCTCATTTACGTGAAATACGAAACGTTCTTGTTAAATGTAGAGTGTTGTTAGTCAAACAACCTTCATATCAAAGATAACGTGAATCGCTGTCTCAGATCTTGACTTTTCTCAATTCAGTAGTTGAAAAACTCGGCAGATACCGCGTCCCTTGAGAATTGACGTTATGCGAAGCGTGGAGATAGATGGTAAATGTGTTTTATTTATTTGTATGAAGCGAGACATGATGAAGCGGCGCTTAATATATGAACGAATCCACGCACACACATTCGTCAAACAGTGACGTATGCTTTATATTAGCAGTTGTTTGCACTTGCATAGTGGTGCCAACAGCGACATGAATATTAACAACACTAGAATCGGTAAGCTAATATGAAGCGCTGGTGTTTGCACTGGTGTTTGCTCTGGTGCGTGCGAGGAAGGTAGGCCTCAACACGGCTACACAAATCAACTTGAGCTGATAGCACCTGAATACAATTTAAGTTAACCGTACGTGACGGCTGCATTATAGGAGTAAATATGTAATATTTATAAAATCAGATATCCACTACTACAAGCAATGGTATGTGGGGTTTAACGTCTCAAAACCACCATATGACACTACTACAAACACAATTGATGGCACATGAAACTTAGGGTCTATTTGAAAATTATGCTTTAGGCCTGGCGTGGATCTGTGGTAGAGTACTTCATTGCCACGCAGAATGCTAGGGACCGATTCTTGCTGGGACACTGAGATTTATTGTTTGCATTCGTCCGGTCAACGCTGCATATGGCAGCTTTCTCTTAATGCTGAAGCGTTGAAGTTACCCACGTGTATGCTCGCTGTTCCTGGGTTGTTATAAAAATTGGAGACCCTTTAAACTTCTCCTTTAAGAGCGGAACGCGATAGAGATATTACGTTCCTATTGCGTACTTCAAACACTTAGTGTACCTTTATATTTTTTTTTCGAACTTGATATGCTCCCACTACGTGACCTTAAGGGTGCACTAACATGTGTACGTTTTGTAATGGGTGACTGGCTGTACACTTTAAAGTCGTCATGATAATTAATAAAAGTTTATCCAACCGAAATAATAACGCCTGATGACAATGGACGCTTAAATCGCGCATTATTACGGCCATATTTTATGTTGTATCGTCAAGCATGTAGGACGCGACGCATGTGTTTGCAAAGTATGAAAGTTACTTTCACTGCATTTCCAAGCAGAGGCAGTTACCCGAACTATATTCACAACTAGAGATATGACTTTGCTGCAGAGCTCCCGCTTGCCACGCAAACGACCCGGGTTTCATCTCCACTATGACCTAGAATTTTTATGGCTTGTTTTATTTCCATCCTTCTCGATTTTTCAGTAACGCAAAGATAATTTTTCTTTCGCATTCAACGAGGCCGACCACGACGCCGAAATTTTTGCGAAACGAGCTCTTCAACGCTATCGCGGTGAAATTTAATGTCTATTACCTGTGGCACATACTCGCATACCAGTGGCACACAGCCACCCCCGGGTATGTGCCGCTGCTTTTTGAAAAGTGTTGGACGACGTACGTGACGAGAATGTGATATTCATTATTCATATCATGACCAGCGAGTCGGTATTCGACAAACTAGGCTTACCCTCCCGTACTAATTTTGGTGTACGCCGGGTGATTGACGTAGGTGGAAAGATAGATAAATAGATAAATATATATATATAGATAGATAGATAAATATATAGATAGATAGACAGATAGACAGACAGATAGATAGATAGACAGATAGATAGACACATAGATAGGCAGATAGACAGACAGATAGATAGATAGATAGATTGATAGATAGATAGATAGATAGATAGATAGATAGATAGATAGATAGATAGATAGATAGATAGATAGATAGATAGATACCAAAAGTGCTTGCAGTACGCAAAAAAATGCTTCGCATTCAAAAGCATTGTCATTGTCATACAAATTTTCTTTGTACTTATTGCTCAGGTTTGTTTTTTTAAGTACTCCATGTATCTTCTGTAGAATAATAGTCACTTTTGCATAGCGACTCTGGCCCAAATAAAATGCTAAAGTCATTAGTTGCATGTTACGCAAGTAAGTGGTGTGAAAACGCATGTGTTGAAGCAATGTAGCAGGATAGTGGCAGACTCCTCCTGTGACCAAGACTTCTGAAAAAAAAATAAAAGGTGAGAACATAGCCGAAGTGAGACAGCATTTCATGTTTTGGATGTTGATAATTTATTGTAAATTTTTCAAGTGCGAAAGGACCACTTGAGTGGGCAACACTTATCTGAATGTCCATGTCTTAACTATACCAAATGCACTAATTTGTATTTTCCACACACTGACAATCTTTAAGGAAAGAGAACGATGAAGACGAAGCATTGTATTAAGAAAAGGATGAAAATGCAATTTTTATTAACTCTCCCACCAGGTGAAGCAGACGCAGAGTCATCTCCTTCAGGGGTACAGGCTGCAGGGCCCTCTTGTACAGACAACCAGAGGATAGGTGAAGACATACTAGAGGATGATCAGGATTATGATGATATGGACATGGACATCAAATCCCTAAAGCGCACTCGATCCCCTGTCTCCAAAAATACTGGCTCTTCAAAACATTCAAAAAACAAAAAATACCAGAAGGAGAACCTATCGAAGAGCGATTTTCTTAAAGACAGCATTTTAGATAAGGTAGTTGCCGAAACAATTCTGTCAAAATGATAGGTTCTATCAAAATTCTTCATTGGAACTGCCGATCTATTCATTCAGCTAGTACAGATTTATTGTATTTATCTTGTAAATTCAATCCAGACATTATTGCACTGCAAGAAACGTGGCTGTCAGCACATAATTCGTTTTACCTACCTAATTTCCGGTCTTTTCGCCTGGATCGCCCATCCAAAGGTGGAGGTTTAGCGTTCTTTGTCAATAATAAAATTAGTTCAAAGATCAAAACTTCGTACAAAAGTATATCCCCCGAATGTGAAATTTTCGCTTTAGACATCACCTTGCCTGGATGCTCTCCCTTCTCTCTGGTAAATCTTTACTTTCCTCTGGTGTACAAGACACGCGATGTTTAGACATGGCTGTTAGTTCGTGGTGCACAGAAAAAATTATGGTTGGAGATTTTAATTCTCACCACACTAGTTGGGGTTTTAGGACTGATCAATGTGGACAACGCTTGTGGGACTGGTCTATAGACCATAATTTATCATGCCTCAACGCTAGAACTCCCACATTTATCCGAGACCGATCCCGCTCTGCCTTAGATTTGAGTTTTATAAGCTCGGGTATTTCTAGCGTATCTTGGAATACTCTAGACTGCGCCACCAACAGTGACCACTTACCAGTACTGTTTGAAATTTCTTGCCCCATTATTCCATCTTACTCCCAAGCTCGAACCTTTATCAATTATTCCAAATTTAAAAATGACCTAGAAGTTGCTTTGACTACCCCCACTGAAGACAACGATGAAAATAAAGCCATGAAATTAAGTGCGGTAATTAAAAGAACGTTCAAAAAAGCAGAATTTTTTATTGAGTCTGATACGAGAAAGCCTTGTAGCCAGTGGTGGAATTCTGAGTGCTCTCGTGATCATAGACGACGACAAGCGGCTTGGAAGCAGCTAATTCATAATCAGTCCCCCAAAAATTGGGCAGATTACAAGCTTATTGCTGCTACATTTAAGCGCACCGTGGCTAAAGCTAAAGAAGACTATGACAAAAAACATTTCGACTTTCTTTCCAAACCTAGAAATAAGAAAGCGTTATTCCGATATATGAGATCGCGCAAAATTCTGCCGTCTCCAGCTAACTCTGATTATGACAGGTTATCGACGGAAGAAATGACTAATTCGTTAGAGGCAATCGGTAGAGGTTTAGCTAACAGATTTTCGTCGACTTTGACAATCAACTGGCAAAAGTCCTCTATAAAGACTGACTACGAAAAAGTGACATTGTCCGAAATGTCAAGCGTAATTAGAAACTTACCCTCTTCGGCTCCTGGTCCTGACGGTATAACAGTTCCTATGATTAAAATTTTATTCCAGATATCACCCGGCGACGTCCTCAACCTTATAAACTATTCCTTAAGCAATGCCTGGATACCACATGACTGGAAAATAGCTAGAGTGATTCCCATATTAAAAAAACAAGGGTCAGGTTTTAACATTGACAACATCAGACCAATCTCTCTAACATCTCACCTGATCAAATTATAGAGAGAGTTCTCAATAATAGAATAAAAGTTTGGATGGCTGACAAGCTAATATTGAAACCATTTCAAATAGGTTTTCGTAGCGAATGCTCAATTTGGTGTGCTCATGCCGACTTAGAGAGCCGAATACAGCTTGCCCGAAAAAGACGACAATACGCGGTACTAGTAACACTAGACATAGCTAAAGCTTATGATAGCGTTGAGCACTCAATTTTATTGAATTCTTTACACGAATGTGACTTTCCGCGTTATATTGTTGATTGGGTAGCAGAGTTTCTAAAATCGAGAGAATTTTATTGTGCAAAGGATGGATGTCACTCATCTAAATTCAAACAGCAACGTGGAGTACCTCAAGGGGCGGTCCTATCTCCGCTGTTATTCAATGTGTTGATGAGCTCAATTCCCATTGAACGAGATATCACTGTCTACATTTATGCAGACGACATTGCATTTTTCGTTGCAGATAGTGACATTTATTCTTTGCATCAAAAATTGCAAAAGTACATGTATTCTCTTGAAATTTGGCTGCA